ACGATACCGTGGCGCCGCGGATCCTCGGTTGGACGCGGATAGCCGGCCTCTCGCGGGTGCCGGTGCGCAGAGCCGTTCGAGACAGGGCCGGGGCGCGGGCGGGGCGGGGCCGGGCCCCCCCCCCCCCCCCCCGCCGCTCTGCCTCTTCTCTTCGATGAGTCGTTCTACAACTTCACCGTCATGGAGAATGACAAAGTGGCGGAGATCGTGGGTGTGGTGACCCTGCAGCAGACCGACGCCCCCCTGTGGTTTGACATTGCAGGTAAAAATCCTCCCGTGGGTTCGGCCGGTGGCGCGTCCCCAGGCCTGGTGCATGGCGTGGTGGGCTCCCACCGACGATGTCTGTTGGTGTTTTTTGAGGTGCAGCTTAGGTTTGTGGCCTCGCTGCATGATCTGTGCTGCTTTGCCCATCCCCGTCTCCATGGCAACAGCTTGTCCAGCTGCTGGGTCTGTATGCCTTGTGGGATGTAAAGCAGTAAAAAAAAAAAAAAAGCACTTTTATTGGGAGGGGAGGGTGGTGTTGTTTGCAAACTAAATTAAAATTCAGAAAATAAGACCTGTCTTCCGGGGTCCGTTTCCTTTGGTTATTTATAACCGCGTCTTATTCAGGTCTTTTCATGAAGCCTGCTGCGTTAAATGGCGTATTGTGAATTTGAGATCAAAATCGGACAAAATCTGTAGCAGGAAACGCCTTTGAAGTGTTTCATTTCGGTTCATTGGGATGAACCAGACCGTGTCACAGTTTGATGGCGGTTCTATAGATCTGTACAGCCACAGTTTGATAGTTTACGTCGGCCATTAACACTTTCCCGCACCGACAGCGCCCCCCCGCTGTGATGAAAGCACCGCGGCAGCCGATTCAGCCCGAACTGTAGAGAGAAAAAAGGCGCCCGGGTTCCCACAATGCACCATCCATCTTTCCTTTCTTGTGGCTGAGCGGTGGCCGTCAGCGTGTTTCCAGCTGGAGATACCTTCTGGCTTGTGCTCCTGGCTCTCCGCCCTTCCCATCATTCCTCTCCTCTTCCCCTAACGTCTCTGTCCGTTTGTCTCTCTCTCTCTGTGTTGACAAAGCTTCATCCGTGAAATTTTACGTTATGTTCAGGAGTTAGCGCTCCCTCAGTGACAGGGATAATAATTAGGGCTGACAAACAATAATCTGATTAATCATCATTAATCGGGAATAAGAACATTCCTAAACATGACATAGAAGTATTTTTTTTGTATGTTGCTGGAGCAGAAAGACATTTTTTTTCACAGCTGTTTTAATTGGTGACAAATCCAAATGGAGGAATTATTAGTATGGAAAAATACTAATAAGTTCAATCAAGTTTTCCAAAGTCTTCTTAGCAACTTTGTTCCTCATTTTAATGAACAACAATAAATTCAATTACATAATTTTCCTCTATTTGTAACTTCAAGTTAGAGCAAGAAAAAAAAACAAAGAGAAACAGACACCCCCCCCCCCCCCCCGCCCCGAGCCGGGGGGGGGGGGGGGGGGGTTCAATCTGGCCCACTTAATGAATTTTGAAAGTAAAAAAAATGCACAAAAACTTCATGTCCGTGACGTTTTTTCAAATAATAGTTCATTAAATATGAATATTTCTTAATATACTTTTACTTCTTTGCATAAAAACAAAGGGGAAAAACATGGACTTATTCATGGGTAATGAATAAGTCCATGGGTAATTATGTTATGATCGTACCGGTCCGCCCCATCCTGACATCTAATCAGAACCAAAATGAGTTTGACACCCGTGTCAAGTTAGCGTAAGTTAGCGCAAAAACGTCACTAAAAAAATGCTTCACTTCAAACACCTCCGTTTTCATGAGGAAACTCCAGAGTGAGTGAGTGTTACAACCAGTCTGCACACCTTAAAACCGCTGTTGTTTTTACCGGTGTTTGTGTTTGAATCCCGACTCTTCTGACTGTGAAGTTCCTTCTCCACGTGTCCGACAGCCGAGGGAGAATCATCATGTTTCTGTCGATAATCCTGTCAAAGTGAAGCCCTGGGATTACACAGCAGTCACACATGGTTAGAGCACAGAGCCGTGTGGGACACTGTGGGACATTTGTCGAGAGTTGGGACAGAAAAATGGACACTTTATTATTCAAGCAGATTAAATGTCTTTATTTTCTAAAAAAAAAAATCATCAGTGTGGCCAGAATTCACGAGTCGGTAAAGAAAACCTCGGTTAGAAGCAGGCGTGGTCTCCGTCTTGTCTTCCTCTCCCTCCTCCCCGTCCTCCTCCTCCCTGTCCCTCCAGTCTCACCGTCTCTTTCCTCTCTTCCCTCAATGCTTCATACCTGGAAGGTCCCAGGTCTTTCCGGGAGATGTTCTATATTCTGCAGAGCTCTTGTGGCAAGAACTGTTCCTCAGAAGGTATCTCACTTCCAAGTTTCCAAGTGTCGCCCCCTGCTGTCCTTTTCCTTTTCCTTTTTTTTTTCATCCATTTTTTTTGTTGTTGTTGGAGTTTATCGTCCTCCACCCTCGTGCTTGTCATCCATGCTGCTGACGTTCTGTGAAAAGTTGGTTGAACTGAAATGAAAGTGTGTGTGTTCGTGTGTGTGTGTGTGTTGCTCATTTATGGACAGTATTGCATCCTGGGTTAATTAAAGGCGTGGATGTTTGAGGTAACGACTTCCACCAGCGTTTTATCAGCTCCCATGGCGGCGACCTCGGGGTCACCTGGGTGACAGCTCAGTCTAATGACCTGCTGTTAGCAGCACCTGGACACACCGTCCGTCAGGAGTTTATGTTAGCCCTCGTGTGGGCAGGTTCACACACACACGTACACACACACACACACACACTGAAATCTTCCAGCACGTACTGACCCATTAGCTCCTCTAATGGAAGCGCTGGACTTTTTGGCAGCTGGTTTGGGACCAGGGGAGCAGAAGAGACTGCCTGAAGCAGCAACAACAACAAACACCGACACCGACACCGACACTGACACCACCTTCAACATCCACCACTCACACGTAGGCACTGGTAAATAAATGAACGGTGAAGTGGAAGAAGAACGGATGAGGTTGAAACGAACGGAGATGTTACAACAACATAGAAGTTCATGAAAAATTAGTTTTGTTTTACATTGTTGTACAGTTTTTGTGGTTGAAAACTGAAATTATAAATTGACTATGAAAAAAAAACAGAAATAGACAAAGATTTATTTTGATGGTCCTCAACCTTAAAACACCATAATAATAATTTTATAATTTTACAAACATTACAAAAGTTGGTTGACTTCACCGAACACTGGAAATATCCGTCTATATGCAGATGACGATCCGTTCAAACGCAGCGACCTTCAGTTTCACGAGACACTTTGATCGTCGCTGTTTGATCGAACAGTGACATCGTAGTAGTTTGCTGTTAGCAAGCAGGCTAAAAATAATTTAGTGTCATGTAAAAATGTGTCACCTTCATTTTGGTTCAGGCAGAAATGTTGAAAAACTTCATCAACATTTAAAACAAAATCCCTCAAATATATATTTAACAAAATACTGCCAACAACCACAAAACCCACCTGACAGTACCTCTGGGGTTCCCCTAGGGGGACGTGTTGCACACCACTGCTATAGATGAATGAGCACATCCATCCATCCATCCATCCATCCATCCATCCATCCATCCATGCATGCACACACACCACATCCTCTAAACACACACTAGGGATCCATTTATAGACCGAGCGACTCGCGCCCCACCCAGCACACTGAGCCACACACACACACACACACACACACCCACGGTAACCAGCTGCACACACACAAACACACACAAATCTTCAAACTGTTAATGTTTAGGCTAAAAAAAAACAATAATCAAAGTGCTTTAAATACAGAGAGAAAAATGATTTACATCAGCGACAACAACCGTGCTACACAAACACAAACACAATACAGAGAGAAAAATGATTTACATCACGACAACAACCGTGCTACACAAACACACACAAACACACACACACACACACTCTGAATCAAAATACCAGCGTAATTACACACGGAGTCGAGCGACTCTCCAAACGTCTGTGTCGTTTCTGTGGCTTCTTATTTTTTTTTATTTTTTTTTTTTTATAAAACAGGTGTTAAAACCTGGTGCGTCAGCGTGAGCATCACTCCTGCTGCGCCTCCTGCTGGCTGCAGGGTGAGGTGAAACAGGCGGTGGGAAACCGTTTTAGAAACTGTTTTTTTTTTTCTTCTTCGCTGGTTTTGGAGTGTTGGATTTTCCTTCTCCCTGTAATTTGGCGACATGAGACCAGAAGCTTTTTCTGGGCTCAGCGGGACTTTTGCCAAACCCTGGTCTTCTCTGTGACCTAAATGAGGAGGAACCATTGAAACGGCAGACGCGGCCGTCTGTATGTGCCGTGGACCACGACACCACAGACGTTCATCTACTGTATTATATGGACAAATATACTGGAAAATATTACTCTGAAGTTTACTGCAAATATTATTCATTTTCCATTTTAACACTGACTCTAAATCTACAGATTTATTTTTACGATGCAAAATATTTGACATTAATGTCTTATAAATATATGTTTTAAAAACTGATAATTACCACATTTTCCTCCTACAATAACGAACCCTTGAACCCAACAGTGTCATTAAATATTAAATCAAATACGGCTTTAGTCCGACGGCGGTGGAACGTCCTCACGTATCATTTATTCATGATTATTTCCTGCTGTTGCTTTCACTGACACACACACACACACACACACACCTGTACCTGCCATATGTTCCTGCATTAATAGCCACTAATATGGTGCAGACAGTCACAGGAACACACACACACACACACACAGTGTGGCGTTGGTGTGTTTGCACGGCCGCTGCTCATGTACATTGTGTTTCTGTGATGTTTGCACGGCCGCTGCTCATGTACATGGTGTTTCTGTGATTTTTTTTTTTTTTTTGCTGTTGATTTGCACAGTGATGTGTGTGTGTGTGTGTGTGTCAGCGCTCATCCCAGTCTCCCTCGTCCTACAGCCATCCACTGGTGACTGTTTGAAACCCATATATTTATATGTATATTTTCTTACCGTGTTGTTGTTGTTGTTGTTGTTGTTGTTGTTGTTGTTGTTGTGACCTGTGGGAGTTTGTCACATTTCTGTGGGAACTCCTGTGGGTCAGTGTCCATATTTGTCCCTCTTACCGACTGTGTCTCTCTCTCCTCACTGACGCCCTCCTGTGGAGCAGGTGGGAACAGCGACAGTGTCTTTGACATAGAGAAGGCCGTGGGCACCATCATCATCGCCAGACCCCTGGACGCGGAGCAACGATCCTTCTACAACCTGACGGTGCAGGCCACGGACGGAACCACCACCGCGTTCACACAGGTACAGACCTCAGGCTAATTAGCCTTAA